GGAAGAAAAGCTTCGTAGACAGCATATTAAAAAGCAGAGACATAACTTTGCTGACAAAGGTCCGTCTAGTCAAAGCTATGGTTATTTCAGTAGTCATGTATGGATGTGTGAGTTAGACCATAAATAAAGCTGAGCACTGAAGAATTTATGCTTTTGAAGTGTGGTGTTGGAGAAGACTCTTGAGAGTCCCAAGGAGGTCAAACAGCAAGGAGTTCAAACCAAAAGGAAATCAGTCCTGAATATTCATTGGAAGGACTGATGCTGCAGCTGAAACTCCAATACTTGGTCATTGATGCGAAGAACTGGCTCATTAAAAAGACCCTGATGTTGAGAAATATTGACGGCAAGAGGAGAAGGGGATGACAGAGGATGAGATTGTGGGATGGCATCACAGACTCAATGGACATGAGTTTGAGCAATCTCTGGGAGTTGGTGATGGACAGGGAAGCCTGGCATGCTGCAGTCCATGGTTTCACAAAGAGCTGGACACAACTGAGCAACTGAACTGAACTGAAATTGAGGTAGGGAAAACATTAGAGCATTCAGATCTTTGAAAATTCAGTCTCATTAGCACAATTCTGCTGTAAAATGGTAAATGATTTGGACATATGAATCCAGAGTTATGTCACAAGAAACTTAATGTTTTGTATACACACACACATACACACACACACACATCCCATAACTAGGAAAGAAATGAAGCCTCTGACTATGAACATGTGAAGGCAATCATATTAAAGAAGAAACGAATACAGAAAAATGATTATTCCTTTGTTGGTTTGTTGAGGAGGTTTTTTACTTTGCACTCTGCTGGTAATGGGTAAGAAGAGCGGTGCAGTTCAATTGGGGAATTCTAGAGACTTTATTGCAGTCAGTGTGGTAGCCACAGTGATCGTTCTTATTTATGAGGTTTTGTCCCTGTCACCTGCTGGGACTTGCGTTGGTTAAAATTGGAGCATGAACCTGATCTGCTTTCTTTCCTCTATTTTAGCACTTGAACAGCCCAGTTTCTTCATTTTGCCTTCTCCTTGCCTATGGATCTCATTTTGATAAACTGTCTGGATTTTTCTTTAAAATAGATCTGTATTTTTCTTAATGTCTCAATTTTCCCTCTTTAAATTTTATTTGCACTGGGCTCCACGCTCTCATGCTCATCCAAGCAGCCTATCTTTGCAAACTGTTTCTCTTCATGTTCTAAACTGCATTGCTGTGATAGCCACCAGTCCTGGGGACTGGGGATTTCTTCCTGGGAAACCCAGGCTCTCAGTTCTGTCTGTCTCCTTCTCTGCTCTGCGTCCTGTAAGCTAGACTTCTGCAGACCACATTACCGTGGTCTCCTTGCCAGCAGGAAATTGGAAGGCCAGCGGAGAGAGAATGCTGTGTTTGTTCTCTACACCTTCTCTGCACTAGGCTCGGTTTCTGGGGGTACCTGTGTCTTTGATGATTTCAGCTCCCCCTGGACTGCCTCTCACTTCATAGCTCTGGCTCACCCTTGGGTCCCAGTAGAACCATTTCCTCTCCTTGTTCCTTAGCCCTAGGATGATGCTGATTTGTCTCTGTTGCCAGGGTTTGGCAACTTCTACAGCCCTTATTTGTTTGCTCAGTCCGGATCCAGTTATCCCCTCCTATTTCATCAGTGACTCTCCTGTATTTACATCTCAGTCATGAATGTCTCAATTATAGCACTTGAGCTTGGTTTTCACTATAGTGATTTGTGCACACGTCTGTCTTCTTTACTCAGCATTAGGGCATGAATTGTGTCTCTTTCCTGTTTGAGTCCTAGTACCTAACAGACTACCTGGCATGTTAATAGGAGATCAGTACATGCTTGTTATATGTATTAATAAATTAATATGACTTTTACTCCTGCAGTCTACTCCTGTTGCCCAGAGCTATCCTAATTGTATTTTATGGATTCCTTGTAGTATTTTTAGGAATGATTAGGAATATATATATTTCTGAGTTTCTTAACATTTACTGCTAAAGAGCCTAGGGAAGGCATATCTTGGTGACACTACTAGATATTTGAAGTAAACCTCAAAATTATGGAGAATCACAGCAGTTGATCAAAAATCACTCACTTTGAATTCTCTCTAAGCTAAGCTCGTCCTATTTGTGCTCATTGCTTGAAACAGAATGAAGCAATTGTGATCTCATTTGTTTCGTTCTTCTCCCTCAGCCAAGCTCCATTTGGTGCCCTATTGTCTCACAAGTTGCCTGTTTGAGTCTTTTGAATTAAGAGTTTAGAACAGAAGGTCCATCTGCTCTGCATGAATATTAAATTATCATAAAACTTTGTGTAAGAAGTATTTACCCTTGTATTTTTTTTCCATTTATTTTTATTAGTTGGAGGCTAATTACTTTACAATATTGTAGTGGTTTTTGCCATACATTGACATGAATCAACCATGGATTTACATGTATTCCCCATCCCGATCCCCACTCCCACCTCCCTCCCTACCCAATCCCTCGATATGCAAAACAGAAAAAGAGACACAGATGTGCAGAACAGACTTTTGGACTCTGTGGGAGAAGGCGAGGGTGGGATGTTTCGAGAGATCAGCATCGAAACGTATGTTATCTAGGGTGAAACAGATTACCCTTGTATTTTTTACAGCGTTAATTTTTCCTTCTGTTCTAAAAGAAAAACTTGGAGCATCAGTTTTTGGTTTTATTTTTTCAACATACCTTTGGATTTGAATAGGCTGCAGTTATCAAGTTGTATAATATTGACAGAATAGGCCTAGGAACCTTTGATTGGTAGGTGCTGAAGAAGTAAGATTTTATTTATTCTCCTTATTGAAAAATATGTAGTAGTTATTGATATAATTGAACACACCATATGCCAGATCTTGTTATTTTGAGGTTATACAATCTCATAAGAAAAAAGAAACTCTTAAAAATTACACATTGGAGAGGCATGTTTTACAATCAATCAGATTCATTAAGTCAATACATATGCTATTTTAATTCATAATATGATAGATAGTATGCAACTGATAAATCTGTAGCTTCATTTTGAATATTCATGAGTGAGCAAGCTTCAGCCAGCTTTTAAGTAAAATAATTTATGCAAGTAAGTGTATTCTCTTTCAGCAAGCTTCAAAACTTTTAAACCAATTTGCCAGTAATGTATATTATGTAGTGAAATTTGTTAATAAAAGCTGAGTAAAGAGATCAGGTGAAGGATGGCATTTTAAAATGTGTATACTTTCCATTATTTAAATGTGAATCTTTTAAATCATCAGTTAACCTTTAAGCAAAGATTAAAGTTGGGTTAAATATGAATATTTGAACAACCATATATAAATATATTCAATATTATTAATAGAAGTATGTCTAATTTCTTTGTTATAAATTTTATAGGCAAAGTGATACTTTTAAAGATAATGGGATGTATAAATTCTGAAGAGGAACTTTATTCTAACTCACACAATGGAATTAAAAGGAAACGTCTACACCCATTTTATAAAATTCTTGTAGTTATAAAGGCTTCCGAGGTAGCACTAGTGGTAAAGAACCTGCCTGCCACTGCAGGTAGACATAAAGAGTCATGGGTCCAATCCCTGGGTCGGAGAGTTCCGTTGGAGGAGGGAATGCCTACCCACTCCAGTATTCTTGCCTAGAAAGTCCCGTGGATGAATGAGCGTGGTGGGCTACAGCCTGTGGGGTTGCAGAGTCGGACATGACTGAAGTGACTTAGCATGTAATTGAAAATTGGATTTAGTGAACAGGGTTAACAAATTGCTTGTGTCTTTTTCTTTTTATCAGATGACCACTTCCTCTGGTCTTTTGAAGTAATTAGCTTGGGTTGATCTAGGAGTCATGAAATTCCAAAGCATACAACATTAAGTGCCCTTTGAAAGAAAAACAGTACAAATTTGTGAAAAAAGTTGGTTCAGAGTCATAGAAGGGAGTCTAATCCAGAGAAGGAAGCTGAAAGTTAAGCTTAATTAGCTTCAGGGTAAATCTGTTTCTATTTAGGTGATGAATCAACATAGGTGGTGCAAAATATTCATTCCAAAACAAGCAAACAGTTTCCATTAAGTATATGTGTGTATTGTAAATATTTTGAAATTTTCAAAAAATTATTTCATACCTTCTATGCATATAATTAATTAAAAATATCTTCCCCAAGTCTGAAGTTTTGTTTTAATTTTATGTAATTGTAATGCTTATAAAGGGGCTTCTCTTGTAGCTCAGTGGTAAAGAACCTGTTTGCAATGCAGGAGATGTGGGTTCAATCCCTGAGTCAGGAAGACCGCCTAGAGAAGGAAATGGCAACCCATTCCAGTAGTCATGCCTGGGAAATCCCATAAACAGAGGAGCCTGGTGGGCTACAGTCCATGGGGTCACAAAAGAGTCGCACACAACTTAGTGACTAAACAGCAACAACAGCAGTGGATGCAAGGCAGGATGTGACAATGGATACAATGGCAGATTAAGACCTTTCAACATCTTAAATAGGGAGCCCTAATCCATGTGTACTTATAAATAACCCCAACCCATAAAACATAAAATAAATATACATGTATGTACTGAAGGTAAAATAGTTTCTTTCTAATTTTCTGTCTTAAAATTTAAAATTCTGCAGTGGTATATAAAAAATGAACTTGTCTCGTATTTGTATTGCCCCTGAATCAGTAGCTGCCTTGAGCACCTGCTTAATGTGCCCTTCAGTGCGACATCATCTAGCAGGCAAGTAACTGGCTCAGAGTCTACTTATCAGCACCCCTTTTCCAGATTTTAATTCTGACTTGCCATTACCTCTCATTCATATTGTACCTTATTTTCCTCTTTGAACTTAATGAGCATGAAAGTAACTTGGGCCTACAAATTACTTATGCTGGATTAAATTTAGAATTATAGTTACTCAAACACCTTGAAAAATTGTAAGAACATGAAATATTGAGGCAAATGATCTGAACACCTATAAGCTATTTTTTGTAACAAAACATTAAAAAATATATATATATGTATTTGTATTTTTTATTCCAAAGCCATATGCCAATTTCAAGGACGGACATACTTTGAAGGAGAAAGAAATACAGTCTATTCCTCTTCTGGAGTATGTGTTCTCTATGAGTGTAAGGTAAGGAAATTCTTCACGTGTGTTTTAAAATTCTTTCAGTTATGTGAACATAGTAAACGTCTCTTTAAAAATTTCACTTCTTAGGCAAGGAGAAAATTTTTTAAAATTTAAGGTATTAATTTATAGCTCAACTGTACAGAAAAGTCTAATAGTTTTTTCAATCATATAAATTAGTGATTGTAAAATAATTTTCCCAATAAATAAAAGCCCTGTTTTGTCAAATCAAAGTTTTATGAAGTTGTCTTATGTTTTCTAAATACAAATCAGCTCCTTGTTTTCTGTTTTGAAGAAAATGTAGATAAATGTAGACTCAGCCTGTTGTCAATTTGGTTTTGACTCATGTGACAAATGTCACTCAGGCCAATTAAAAACAAAAGGCAATTTGCCTAATAAAAATTAGCTATTAGATGAAGATGAGACTAATATTGATCTTAATTTCTTTGGGAGGAATATTTTAATTGATTTGAAGGAAAATGCTTTATAGATGTACTACCACGGTCTCTTGAAATATGCTTCTGAAGCAAACGTGATTCATTTTAACTCCGCTTCTTGACCTAATTGAAAAAGTAAATATGTTTCATGACACTGTTCACATATAATTTTTGTAAACTATCATTTTGTATTCCTTTACCATAATGTTGTATTTCAAGCCATATTCTATATAAAGGAAACTGTCTACATATAAAGTTTCTGCTTTAGGGTTCATTTATATTTGATCACTAATTTTCTTCTTAAATGCCTCTGTACTTGGTTTTGGGGGATGATTTAGTATGTTTATATTATGTAGAAAATTAAGTGATTTACTCTGCTGGCAATACACTGTGAGAATTCATTTGATTAAATGTTGGTGAAAGAAAATCATTAGAATTTTGCCAAGATAAATTGAATCTGAAAAAAGCCAGCTGTATACCTCAAGCATCTTAAATTGGAAGACTATGGGGATAAGCATGGAGGAGACATAAAATAGCAAAACTGTGACAGATCTGATATCCAGAATGTGAAAGCTCTGGTTTGTTCATGTTCATTATAAGGTATTCTGGCTCTAAACCAGCTCTCTCCTGTTTTAGGTTAGTTACCATCTTACAGATAAGGGAACTGGGGCATGGGAACAGAAACACAACTGCTGAAGCTAAATTTCAAGTTTGGGTTTTCTCATGAGCATCTCTTCACCAATGCTGTTTTGAGAATAGATTTTTAAGGGACTAGATCTGATAGACAGAGTTCATGATGAACTATGGATGGAGGTTTGTGACATTGTACAGGAGACAGGGATAAAGACCATCTCCAAGAAAAAGAAATGCAAAAAAAGCAAAATGGCTGCCTGAGGAGGCCTTACAAATAACTGTGAAAAAAAGAGAAGTGAAAAGCAAAGGAGAAAAGGAAAAATATACTCATTTGAATGCAGAGTTCCAAAGAATAGCAAGGAGAGATAAGAAGGCCTTCCTCAGTGATCAGTGCAAAGAAATAGAGGAAAACAATAGAATGGGAAAGACTAGAGATCTCTCCAAGAAAATTAGAGATACCAACAGAACATTGCAGGCAAAGAAGGGCTCAATAAAACACAGAAATGGTATGGACCTAACAGAAGCAGAAGATATTATGAAGAGGTGGCAAGAATACACAGAAGAATTGTACAAAAAAGATCTTCATGACCCAGATAATCATGATGGTGTGATCACTTAGCTAGAGCCAGACATGCTGGAATGTGAAGTCAAGTGGGCCTTAGGAAGCATCACTATGAACAAAGCTAATGGAGGTGATGGAATTCCAGTTGAGCTATTTCACATCTTAAAAGGTGATGCTGTAAAAGTGTTGCATTCAGTATGCCAGCAAATTTGGAAAACTCAGCAGTGGCCACAGGACTGGAAAAGGTCTGTTTTCATTCCAATCCCAAAGAAAGGCAATGCCCAAGAATGCTCAAACTCCTGCACAATTGCACTCATTTCACACGCTAGTAAAATAATGCTCAAAATTCTCCAAGCCAGGCTTCAACAGAATGTGAACCGTGAACTTCCAGATGTTCAAACTGGATTTAGAAAAAGCAGAGGAACCAGAGATCAAATTGCCAACATACGTTGGTCACTGAAAAATCAAGATATCAGAAAGATATCTATTTCTGCTTTATTGACTACATCAACACCTTTGACTGTGTGAATCACAATAAACTGTGGAAAATTCTGAAAGAAATGGGAATACCAGACCACCTGACCTGCCTCTTGAGAAATCTGTGTGCAGGTCAGGAAGCAAAAGTTAAAACTGGACATGGAATAACAGACTGGTTCCAAATAGGAAAAGGAGTACGTCAAAATTTTATATTGTCACCCTGCCCATTTAACTTATATGCAGAGTACATCATGAGAAATGCTGTGCTGGCAGAAGCACAAGCTGGAATTAAGATTGCCGGGAGAGATATCAATAGCCTCAGATATGCAAATGACAGCACCCTTATGGCAGAAAGCGGAGAAGAACTAAAGATCTTGATGAATGTGAAAGAGGAGAGTGAAAATGTTGGCTTAAAGCTCAACATTCAGAAAACTAAGATCATGGCATCTGGTCCCATCACTTCATGGCAAATAGATGGGAGAGTAGTGGAAACAGTGGCAGGTTTTATTTTTTTGGGCCCTAAGATCACTGCAGATGGTGATTGCAGCCATGAAATTAAAAGACACTTACTCCTTGGAAGAAAAGTTACGACCAACCTAGACAGCATATTTAAAAACAGAGACATTACTTTTCCAACAAAGGTCTGTCTAGACAAGGCTATGGTTTTTCCAGTAGTCATGTATGGATGTAAGAGTTGGACTCTAAAGAACGCTGAGCACAGAAGAATTGATGCTTTTGAACTGTGATGTTGGAGAAGACTCTCGAGAGTCCCTTGGATGTCAAGGAGATCCAACCAGTCCATCCGAAAGGAAATCAGTCCTAAATATTCCAATGAATATTCATTGGAAGGACTGATGTTGAAGCTGAAACTCCAGTACTTGGCCACCTGATGGGAAGAACTTACTCATTTGAAAAGACCCTGATGCTGGGAAATGTTGAAGGCGGGAGGAGAAGGGGATGACAGAGGATAAAATGGTTGGATGGCATCACCAACTCAATGTACATGAGTTTGAGTAAACTCTGGGTGCTGGCGATGGACAGGGAGGCCTGGTGTGCTGCGGTCCATGGGGTCGCGAAGTGTTGGACACAACTGAGCGACTGAACTGAACTGAGCTGAGGTCCCACCATCGATACAAAGACTGGGAGCCTTGGAGTGAGATATAGAAACACCAAGGAAATCAGAGAAATGTTCCATCAAGGGAGGTGGAAATTTTGTCACCTGGTTCCTAAGTAAAGTCTTACTTTGAAATATCAGCCCTAAATTTAAAAATTGAAGATTCTCCATTTTCTGTGTGTGATCTTTTCATTTAGCAAATGTTGTCCACAATACTGATCATTATGATTTAAAAATTTTCTGAGATGGTTTCCTATTTGATTTTAAAATACCTAAAAAGTGATTTTATTTTCAATTAGGTTTGTGAAACTTTTGGGTATAGTCAACTATCCAGGTGCTTAATAAATATTGTGTGAATAAATAAATGTTACCTTTTATTTGCTCAAACAAAAGACACCATTTTACTACCCTCTCATGCTGTGCTGTCCAGTAGAAATACGATGCAAGCCACACATGTGATTTTTATTGGGCTAAACTTTCTGTATATAACCCCATATAGCCAAACTATTATCATTTCCAATGTAATCAATATAAAATTCTTAATGAAATATTTTATAGTCTTTTATAATGCTGAGTCATCAAAATCTTGCTTACTTACATTTACAAAACATGTAGCTAGTGGGTGTGGATTCTATAGCACCAACCCTCCCTGATCTTCATAAACTTTTATTATTCTTCACTAAATTCTTGACATTAAGGACTTCCACTGTTTCTTCTCCCTTCAGCCCCCTGCACTTCGGTATTTTACATAATTGACAGCTCTCTCTGGCTTCCGTTTTCTTGGTCGTCAATTCTAGTCCTTCTTTGTTCTTTTATTGTCAGTTTTGTGACCTTGAAAATGTGTCCTGGGCAGTTTGTGAGCTTAATAGTAATACAGAAACACACTCTGCTTCTGAAAATAAGATGATCAGAATGGATATTACTGTCACACCAAAGGAAGGATATGTGTATACAGGAAGACACTATATGTGTCTCCTGCCACTTTCTTGATAAGAGATCATTGTGGCATGGAGAAAATCCTTTCCATCAATAAACCAGGAAGAGGGGGATATTGAAGTTATGAAAACTATTTCTTCAATAGAAGCAGTGCTTATAGAAATAACATCTAAAAACCTAAGCTACTGAGCAGTATTAAGATGGAAGCCTTTCATGTCCAATGATTATTTTATTTCTTATGCATTGGTAAGCATAATACAACAGTTAATGACTCTTGTTCTTAAGAGACCAGAAGTTGACAGTTTAGAAGCAAGATGTTTGCTTCAAGGACAGTGCTACTCCATTTATCAGAAAAGTGTTCTGTGTTTTGGTTTTCTCTTAAAGTTTTTTTAGTGGCTAGGACTATAATTGTTTTGTATTAATTTATTCATTCACTCAGGAAAATTTTTTGAGCACCAATTATGTGCCAGAAAATATGCGACACATTCATGCGCAAGAGACATAAATCCTGCCCGCATTTCCCTTTTTGGAAATGTTTTGTGAGCGATCCACAACATTCCTTATCATACTCACTTGGTATAATCTCTCTAACAGTTTGGAAACTTTGAAGTGAGAATGTTTAAAAAGTCCAGTTTTTATTTATTGTTTTTTCAAACAAATAAAGTGAGCTGTTAATCAAACTCAAGCTATCTTTTTGCCACAATTGTCATCTGGATGTGCAGATACGTTTTAAACTAACAGAATCTCTCAGGATAACTCTAATGTTTGGAAATTGAAGGCATGCCTCCATTCCCAAAGCTGCTTGTCCCTTTGAAAGTCTTTCCAATTGTCATTTGATATCATTTTGCAAGTGAGTCTGTGACCTATGCAGAGGTCCTCAGGATGAAAATTTTATTCCTGTGTTTGAAGAGATGTCTTTAACGCTGGATCTGGAAACTTAGGAGTTTCCAGAATTAGGAGTTAGTCCTAATGAGACAAGTGCTCGGGCCTGGTGCACTGGGAAGACCCAAAGGGATCGGGTGGAGAGGGAGGTGGGAGGGGGGACCAGGATGGGGAATACATGTAAATCCATGGCTAATTCATTTCAATGTATGACAAAAACCACTGCAATGTTGTAAAGTAATTAGCCTCCAACTAATAAAAATAGATGGGAAAAAAAAAAATTAAAAGCAAAAAAAAAAAAAAGGAGTTAGTCCTAATTGAGAAGTTTGAAGCATTTATTTTCTGTTGTCTAACAGGACCAGAGCATGAAGCTGGTTGAGAGTTCAGGCTGTCCTGCTCTGGACTGTCCAGAGTCACATCAGATTACCTTGTCTCATAGCTGTTGCAAAGTCTGTAAAGGTAAGATTTTTTGGAAAGTAAGATTTACGTGCATGAGTCATTCTAGGAGGCTATTTCAACTAACAAAATATAGAGTTTCTTATAGGGAAGTTATTTCCAAAGACTCTGGAATTAAAATTAAGATGCTCTCTTGCCTTTCCACTGGGTGTCTTGTACCTGGTTCAAGGTCTAGTTTCTAAACTTCTCTCTGTGTGTTGGTTCTGAGTCAGCATGACATTGTTGAAAATATAAAACAGCGCTGAGTTATTTTATTGGGTTTTTCGTGGGGGGGGGGGGCGGATTTGCTTTTCTTTTCTCTTCAGTCTGTTTTATAATTGACTTAGCATAATTCCCATGTTGGCTACTTCAAATCCCTCTCTTCACAATTCCACTTTCCTTCACTGATAGGTTTCCATATCACTGAGAAGAGAGAGGCCATCAAACATGCATTGCTTGTTCTGTGTTGCCCTTGTGATGATAGACCTACAACCAATAAGTAGAAGGAACTTAGATTTTTAGTTCGATATAAGAAAACAGTAAAATTTGAGATGCTCAGAAATGCAGTGGGCTGCCCGTCATCAAAGATTCTTAAATTTGGTATTTTATTGTAGATTCAAATATTAAACTAAAGGATTGATTATATGGAACTTTTTATGATCCCTACCAGTCATGAAATTTATGTGTGCCTTCTTGCATTATCTTGAAATCATGTATTTGTAAATCTGTCTCCTTCATTGAACTTTGCACCTTGAGGGCAGGGCTGGGTCTTTATCCTTGTATGACTCTTGGAATGTAGTTGGGACTCATAACTTATGTAGTTGGTGTTACATTAGCAAAGTGCCTTATATGAGCTACTAGCATGTGTTTTAATAATAGCCTTTATTGATACCAAATAAAACTTAAACAGAAAGAAGAAAAATAAACCTTATAAAATATATGCTATATTTTTTCCTTTTAATCTCATTTATTAAAAGGGAAATATAAGATCCTTCTCTCCCATTTTTTGGAGGATGGTGCAGGTTTCCTTTCATTTTCTTTTTACCTAATTGCTCCATCTATTCATTTAAGAGTTTTAAAATCTCAGTTCTATGAAAGGCTCTTTAGGAGTTTCAGAGTGGTTCAGACTTGATGTGCCTTTTAAGAGCTTTAGGGATAGCTCTCAGGAACTAAGAGTACAAAAGACTATAATCAAATAGACAAAAAAGAAAAGCCACTGGTGTTTTCAGCCTAACTTTCCATGAGCCAGTGCCTTGCACAGAGCATGTGTGGAAGTTGATACAAATCCAGAATGCTCATTCCAATCACTTGATTTGGGAACTGGACTCCCAGAATGCAGCTTGACTAGAGTGTCTTTGGCAGCCAAAGGTAGGCTATACCAGAACCTCTCAGGATTAAATGTGTATACAGATAACCTAGGGATTAAAGTGCAGATCCTAATCTGGAAGGTCTGGAGTGGAGCTCAAAAATCTGCATTTCTGTTAAGCTCCTAGGCGACTACTGGTCAGTGGGACCACACTTCCAGTGGCTTTTGCTACATAACAAATTACCCCAAAGTTCAGTGGCTTAAAACAACAACCACTTTATTACCAGGCATACCTCCTTTTGTTGCACTTTGCTTTGTTGTGCTTTGCAGATATTGTGATATTTACAAATTGAAGGTTTATGACAATCCTGTCAGGCAAGACTGTTGGTGGCATTTTTCCAGAAATATTTGTTCATTTCATGATTCTGTATCACACTTTGGTTATTCTCACAATAGCAATAATTCAAATTTTTTCATTATTATTATATTTGTTATGGTGATCTGTTATCAGTGATCTTTAATGTTCCTACTATGACTTGCTGAAGGCTCAGATGATGGTTATTGGAGAAGGAAATGGCAACCCACTCCACTGTTCTTGCCTGGAGAATCTCAGGGACCGGGGAACCTGGTGGGCTGCCGTCTATGGGGTCACACAGAGTCGAACACGACTGAAGCAACTTAGCAGCACCAGTAGCAGATGATGGTTATCACTTTTTAGCAAGAAAGTATTTTAAATGGTGAAGGACAGCGAAGTCTGGCCGTAGTCCATGGGATCACAGAGAGTCAGACATGACTGACCGACTGAACAACAAATTTTTGAATTAAATCATGTACGTTTTTTACAGATGTAATACTGTTGCATATTTAATATACTACAGTATAGTATAAACAACTTTTTTTTGGCCACATTGCACGGCTTTCAGGATCTCAGTTCCCTGATCAGGGTTAAACCTGGGCCACAGAAGTGAAAGCCTGGAATCCTAAACACTAGGCAACCAGGGAACTCCCAAAACAGCTTTTATATGCACTGAGAAAATAAAAATTTTGTGTGACTTGCTTACATTGTGATAGTCACTTTATTGCAGTGATCTGGAACCAAACCTGCAATATCTCTGAGGTATGCCTAGATATTGGCAGGGTTGTGGGTCAGCAATTCAGACAAGGCTTAGCCAGGCTTCATAGGGTATTAACTGGGGTCACTCAGCTGGAAGTTGGTCTGAGCTGGAAGGTTCCAGATGGCCTCACTGTGTGTTGGGCATCTTAATAGGAATGGCGTGAAGGCTGGTGATAGCTAGAACTCTCTCCCTTTCTATGTAATCTCAGGACTTCTCCCTATGGTCTCCCTAGCAGGATGGTCATCAGATTTCTTAAATGGTAGCTTGGGGCTGTTAAACAGTAGGTCTGGAACTGACACAGCATCACTTCTACCACAATTCATTGATCAAAACAGTTACAACCAAGCCCGGATTCAAGGGGTGGGTGTGAGGGGAATAGATCCCACTATGATAGGAGGAGTGTTAAAAATTTGTGGCCATCTTTAATCCTCTAGTGTCCAGGAGCTACTTAGAGAGCAGAGAGTGAATACCTATCAGTCAGGTTGGCTAGATTTGGGTAAAAAGATGTGAGTAAGAATAGGGCATTTCAGAGGGCTTCCCTGGTGGCTCAGCTGGTAAAGGATCCACCCACAAGGCAGGAGACCACAGTTCAATTCCTGAGTCAGGAAGATCCCTTGAAGAAGGATAGGCTACCCACTCCTGTATTCTTACCTGGAGAATCCCCATCGACAGAGGAGCCTGGTGGGCTGCAGTCCATGGGGTCACATAGCATTGGACACAACTGAGCGACTAAGCACAGAACAGAGCATTTCAGATGTCAAGACCTAATTACACTCATTTCTTTTTAACGAGCTTTAACATATTACCAAAAGCAAGTTAAGAATGGAAAGTGAAAGTAAAATCGCTCAGTCACATCTGACTCATTGTGACCCCATGGCCTATACCGTCCATAGAATTCTCCAAGCCAGAATGCTGGAGTGGGTAGCCGTTCCTGTCTCTAGGGGATCTCCCCATCCCAGGGATTGAACCCAGGTCTCCCACATTGCAGGCAGATTCTTAACCAGCTGAGCCACCAGGGAAAAATGGAAAAGCTAGGAACAAAAACTGTTATGTTTATATTGGCTATAGTTATAAAAGTTAAGATGTTTACACAACACACTTGAAATACAATGACAAAGTATACTGTGATCTATATCCCCCAACCCGAGACTCTGTTATACTTGATTTGTGACCCACTGAAGCCAGAACTGAACTCAGGTTTGGCTGCTTATTGCTCAAAAGTTGATATTCAAGAGAAAGAGTTGGTGGGGGCGAGGGGGGGAGTATATTCAGGAAGATGCTGGGAGGATGGTGGACGAGCGTCCCCCAAACCATCTTCAAGTTGCCAGACAGGGAAGAAGAGTTTGCAAAGGAACAGTTTCAGAGGTGTGCTGGTGGCGGCTGGTGGGGGCTATGTGTGAGGGAGCACAGTCTGCTCCAATAATCACCTTGAAACTGGTGGTGCGGTGGTCTGATTAGCAGCATTGTGTGATCGTGCAAGGAGAACAGGTTATCTGTAGCTGTGGAGTTGAAGCATCCTGCAGTTCCTGGAATTTCTCAAGAGATTGTTCTTTAAGTATTTAATCACATTATGGCATATTCAGTCCTACATCACGGGTTTTTCTCACAATGGAAAAAACAATGGGGCTTCAAATATGGACTTGCCCTTGCTAAGGTAAAAGCAGAGATTCCTTTTCCTTATTCCTGAACAAGTGTTTCAGAGTCAGGTAAGATGTATGTGATAGAACCTTGGGGCCAACTTTCAAAAAACCTTGAGTAATAAATTATTTTACACAGCCTGGATTGAGAACCACTGGCTTAGTTAATACTGAAGCTGAAATTGGACAAGTTGACTTTTCTTGAAAGATCTAAAACTTGCTTCCATTTCTGACTTCAAATATATAGAATAAACAAATGAGTTCTCCTGCCATTCTCTGACTTTTAAACTAAAAGCAAATTTTTGAAGGCTGAAATTTTGAGTCAACTCCTACACACAGGAGTTGTGTAGAATGTTGTGACAAATTCATTTGCAGTAAAACTGGCCTCCAGCATCCAGGCCTGTCTGCCTAGTGCTAAAGATGACATGTTCACATCTGAAAAAGTAAGTTGTTCAACAATGCTTATTAAATATTCCCTGAGGGCAGAGCATGAGATTAAAGAGTTGACCTTTCCACTGGAGGTTCAACCAGTGTTTGGAAACCAAGCTGTGTGCTGAAATAAGGCTCCAGATCTCTAGGCACCAAGTCACATCCAGGCAGGACTGATTTCTAGGTACCCTCTCCTCTTCTGTTGTGGCAGCTCAGCAACAGTGTAGCAAGTGTTCTTTTCACTTTTTTCATATTTGAGAGCTCCTTCAAGGAGTCATATGACCAATTGTAATAGGATAGAGACTTCCTCACGCAATGAGGACTCTGACTTAGATACAGAAATAACATGAAACTATGTGTTTTCATATCTCATCCCTTCCCATTCTCTTCCTCCTCTCTTGGCCACTCCTTTCTCTGCCTGTAGACCATCAAATCCTGTTCACCAGATACCCACTTTTTAATTTAATATTGACTTTGTCAGGACTTACAATTAGAAGTAATGGAGGCATTGTGTGCATAAGGCTGAGTGAGTGTAGA